CCGCTCAGGAGACACTTGGCCTCGATTACAGTAGAGTTAATATTTGGTTTGACAACAGCAGAGCAGGAAGATGCAGGTAACTTTCCAGCACCTGCTCATGTTAAGATGGAATACTGATGAGGCTTGGAGATCAGCTTTGATTGCATTTGCAATTCCTGTGTGTGAGACTGTGTGACACTATTAAACCCTACAGTTCACACGAGTCGGTGTTGCATCAGTCCATCGCCTTGTCAAGTGTTTAGGCAACATGGCAAACCCTCACATCATCTCCTCTTGTCTTTCTGCTTGTTTTCTCTGATTGGTCTCTCATCTCGGTGTCAACAGCACGTCTTGTGCACAGAGGCTGATGAATGCATAGTGACATGTTCAATCTCAAGTGTTATCGTTACTCAGCAGACAAAAACATGATAGCTAAATACAGATGAGAACAGATGAACCGTCATTTAAATCTATGTGAGCTGTCTGAGAGGAGAACATTGCAACAATGCACAACTATGTCCAAGTCTGTGTGTGTTTATAGACATGTCGGGAGAAATCATTTAATAGGTCTTATTCCAGAAAAGATTCATGTATACTGTTTAATGAACGGTGGAGGTAACCTATACTTGAATACTAATACATTTCAAGTCTGAAGGCCACTATGTAAGCCTATGCTACTTTTTTAAGATATTTCAAAAATAAGTGGCCCCAGTCACACTGCATTTTAAGGCTACTAATTCGTTTTTTTTTTTTTATTATCCTTTTATATGTTTTTTTCAAGCGCTAAGTATCTGGTTATTGTAGCGGTCAAATGTAGTTGAGTTCAAAAGTGCAATATAGCTAAGTAGTATAGAGTAGCATAACATGGAAATACAGCTGTTGTTAGGGTTGAGCAGCGCAGGGAGGACCCAAGTGCAGACAGACAATTTTTATTTACACAGCAAAAAAAAACTTTATTCAAGGCAACATGATCAACAAAAAACCAGACAGGAACTCTATCTCCCTCTAAGCACAAAAAGGAACCCACAAACCCCAACAGAAAACAAGAACTTAAATACACACATGGCCAATCAAGACACAGCTGGGGAGGGGAGGGAAAACACAAAGACACAGGTGAATAGAATCAGGTAATCACACAGGAGGGAAAACACAGACAGGAAACAAATACACACATGACAGACAGGGGGTGAACATCCTTCAATGAAAAACAGGAAGCCGACAGTCCTAGACAATTCCAAAATAAAACATAAAATAAACAGATCCTAACATATGTAGTGTAAAGTACAGATTCCTTAAAACTATATTTAGGTACAGTGGGTATGTAAATGTAATTAGTTATTTTTCACAACTTTGAAACTGCCACCAAAAATGGCTTCTATTGAACATTGACATCTCAAAAAGTCCAATTGTTTCCTAGATTCAGAGTTAGAAGCATGTCCTCAAGGTCATGATCATCATCATCCAGCTACGTCTCAGCAGGAGCTGCAGAACCTCTGTATCGTGTTTCTGTTATAATCCCTGTCTTTATTGCCAGTGACTATAAAATGATACATCTGTCATATAAGTGACAAAGTCAGGGAGAAGTGTGTGTGTTTGTGTGTGTGTGTGTAGCAGGAGTGATGACTCATACTTAATCCTCATCAGTGGAGCGGCAGCAGCGTCACACCACATGAGGTTGTGTTACTAAATTAGAGCTCAATAGCAATCGACCCCCAGAGCTTGAGTGTACTTCGTCTCAGAAAGAGAGTGCGTGTGTGTAGATGAAGAGAGAAGATGCAGAAGGAAGCAAGTCACTGATACGGGTCAAGGTGATGGATGAAGGGATTAGAAGGAAACAGACAGAGAGACGACAGTAGTCATCTCCAGGTGATTGGAACGCCTCTTGTGTCGTTCTTTAATCACTGACAGCTTTTTTTACGAGACAGCTACATCACCGAGCAAAACGATGAAGCCTCCAAGGTTACCGATCATATGCCTCCCTTTGTCTCTCTTTGTCTATCTCTCTTTTCCATTCAGTTAAGTTATGCTCTGTTTTGAGGTAGATAAAGGATGAACTACTTATTACAAAGGATGAACCTGTCTGCAGAGAAGCACTTACATCATATACCACTCCTGCATATGAAAAATGCTTCCAGGAAGAATCTGCACTTCTTCTTCTTCTTCTTGGATGATCCTCAAGTTGTTATACTCAGCGTCTGGATCAGGGAGTCTAACAAAGGGGAGACTATATATATTAAAATTCAACATACAAATATATAACAGGGAATTAAAAATGAAGGGATTAAATGGAAGAAAAGATGGTGCTTGAGGAAGGGGAGGGGAAAGTAGTCTCAAAGATGTTTGCACACCCAAATCTATATGAAAATTATCTTTAAAAGGGGCGCTTCTACCTAATTAACTAAATTAGGGTGGTTTAACATTCATGGAGAAATCTACTCGGATCGTTTAAAAACTGAAACTGTGTTTTTTGTTGCTCTGGAAACCTTTTCAAAATAATACGTCACCAACTAAATGATTGACACCGCTGTGTTACCCTGAATTCTTGAATAAAACATTCTCGCATGCCTCCACGGGTGGACAAAGAAACTAAAATCGAGATATGTCTATATGTATTTAAACTCTGACAGCTCGTTCATTATCATCAAAGTCTCATTGATCGAGTTGTTTACTCACTTCTTTCCCAAAGCAAGCAGCTCTGTGGATACATTTCCCCCTTAGAAACCTATTATATCACACACTGTGTACAAACTGGAGGTCTGGTTTGAAGGAGAAGGGAACAAAGGTCCAAATGACAGATACTACATGTATTATGGAATATGAAGGATGCAGTATCTTTGGTCCTCGACTAGATACACAACAGGACTTAAAGTCTGTACATTTAGGCCTCTGCTGCTTACATTTTCAAACGTTTCTAACCCATGCTACACAAATATTCTCCTCTGGGATGATGTGTGATGTTTGTTGCTCTATTTTAAGTTACATTTTAAGATGCGCGCAGTCATGACTCGTGAAATGTTAAATGCTTTGTTTGATATACAAGTCAGGATACAAGCACTACTGAAATCTCATTTGCAGTTTTTGCATGGCAGCCTTGAATGTTTCCCTGAGGACAATTTCATTTGCATCTTTTATCTCTTATACCAATAAAGCAGAGCTGAACTGAATCTAGAGATAGAGACAGACGTAGAGGGACGAAGGGAACCTTGGGAGGCTTTTCTCAATCTGAATGTCTCGTAAAAATGTAATATTTAAGCTACATTTTTCAGGTTTACGACAAGCAAAGCCCTAATTCAAAGTAGTATGTCAAATAAATGCATTTATGACAACTGAATTGACCGTTTAAAAAAATATATGAACAAAGCTTTTATTGGCAGCAGCATTTTTGTAATAAGCAGGGTTGAATACTGAATCAAATGTTTACAACTTAAGCCATTTATCTTCGCCAGTACTGAATCATTTCAGGTCACCACTGATCAATCACACAAACTTGAGTTAAAGTGACGGTTTTTATTTTTTAAATGCCCAGGTATCAAGAAATAAAGCAGTTTCATGAGCAAATGCTGACAAAAGAAAACTGGAACCAGCAATTGTTTTTATTTTTTTTGGTGAGGTGACTAGCAGCTCTAAATCTAAAGTTTCTCAGTTAACAGTGATTTATTGTTTGTTTGTTGATCACTATGACTCGATTCTGTGGGCTCTGGCTCATTGCGTTGGACAATGTGGATTCCCAAGACCATTTCTTCCATTCTATCCCATGATATGTGGGATATTGGGACATTTGAATGTCATCGCTAATTAAACTTCAGAGATAGAATGAAAAAAGGTTTTCTAAGATATAACACATCTTTATTTTCCAACATCTCTCTGGAGCTGTTTTACCACCACCCACAATTTAATGAAACATTTCCAGCAGTCAACAGCTCCACCAGTTCCTTTGTGCATTGCATTGTGGGGAGACTTGTCACTTTCTCAATGCAGCAGAAAACAAATATCTTAAACTTACAGCAGAATATTTTACACTCAGAAAACAAACAGAAAAAGCATTAAAAGTTGACTTTCTTTCTCTCAATCTCTGTAGATTCTACTGGGACCTGTTGATGCTGATGTTGATGATGGGGAACTTAATCATCCTGCCAGTGGGCATAACTTTCTTTAGAGAGGAGAACACTCCCTCGTGGATCATCTTCAACGTCGTCTCCGACACTCTCTTCATGGTCGACTTGGTTCTCAACTTCAGGACCGGCATCATCAAAGAGGACAACACTGAGATATTGCTGGACCCCAGGTCAGGAGACACGTTTGGGGGCGTTAATCATGTTTATGGTCGAGAATATCAATACAGCAGCTCTGTCACCATACATTTTCATTTTAATTTAATTTCAAACCTTTATTTAACCAGGTAGGTCCCATTGAGATCATTGATCTCTTTTTCAAGGGAGACATGCAGCAAGTAGGTTACACATGAAACATAAAACAACATAAAACAATAAAGGACATCATACATCATATTTACATGGCTACATTTACATACCTATCGACATTTACAAGTACCAACAGTATCAAAGAGCATTTCACCTATCCAAGCTTTAAAAACATGCAGTGGAACCAAATTGCTCAGTTTAAATTATTTTTGAAGTCTGTTCTAAGCAAGAGGAGCTGCACACATAAAAGCTTTCTTACCTAAGTCAGTCCTTGCACTTGGCACATGTAACGAGACCACATCATGTGATCTCAGGCAATAGCTACCTGCAACTCTGTGTGATCAGAGAGCAGATAAGATGGGAGTTTACCGGTGGCTTTATGAACATGTACCAATGACTGAGCCTCCGTAAGTAAGTGAAGGCAAACCTGCCCTGGCATACAGGGTACAGTGATGAGTAAGTACTTTACAGTTAGTAACAAATCTCAGTGCACTGTGATAGGCGGCATCGAACTTGTTCAGGTAATGGGCAGGTGCATTCATATACAGTTGCAAGAAAAAGTATGTGAACCCTTTGGAATTACCTGGATTTCTGCATAAGTTGGTCATAAAATGTGTTCTGATCTTCATCTAAGTCACAACAATAGACAAACACAGTCTGCTTAAACTAATACCACACAAACAATTATATGTTTTCATGTTTTTATTGAACACACCATGTAAACATTCACAGTGCAGGGTGGAAAAAGTATGTGAACCCCTAGGCTAAAGACTTCTTCAAGAGCTAATTGGAGTCAGGAGTCAGCCAACCTGGAGTCCAATCAATGAGACGAGATTGGAGGTGTTGGTTAAAGCTGCCCTGCCCTATAAAAAATACACCAGTTTTGAATTTGCTATTCTTAAGAAGCATTGCCAGATGTGAACCATGCCTCGCACAAAAGAGCTCTCAGAAGACCTACGATTAAGAATTGTCGACTTGCATAAAGCTGGAAAGGGTTACAAAAGTATCTCTAAAAGCCTTGATGTTCATCAGTCCACGGTAAGACAAATTGTCTATAAATGGAGAAAGTTCAGCACTGTTGCTACTCTCTCTAGGAGTGGCCGTCCTGTAAAGATGACTGCAAGAGCACAGCGCAGAATGCTCAATGAGGTGATGAAGAATCCTAGAGTGTCAGCTAGAGACTTAAAGAAATCTCTGGCACATGCTAACATCTCTGTTGACGAATCTACGATACATAAAACACTGAACAAGAATGGAGTTCATGGGAGGACACCACGGAGGAAGCCACTGCTGTCCAGAAAAAACATTGCTGCACGTTTGAAGTTTGCAAAAGAGCACCTGGATGTTCCACAGCACTACTGGCAACATATTCTGTGGACAGATTAAACCAAAGTCGAGTTGTTTGGAAGGAACACACAACGCTATGTGTGCAGAATCCAAAGGGTTCACATACCTTTTCTTGCAACTGTATATCAAATCACCATAGTCCAGCACAGGTAAAAAGGTCACAGTGACTAGCCTTTTCCTGGCCTCAAGCGAGAAACAGGACTTGTTTCTGAAAAAGAAACCTAGCTTCACCCTTAGCTTTCTAAGCAGATTATCGACCTGAAGTTTAAAAGAGAGGCAATCATCAAGCCAGATACCAAGGTATTTATAACAGGCAACCACTTCAAGTATTTTTCCTTGCGCAGTAACAATATCCAAAGTTGTCTCTGGTGTCTTTTTGGCTTTTAAAAATAGCATTATCTTGGTTTTATCACCATTTAAAATAAGCTTTAGTTCAGAGAACTGAGTCTGAATAATATAAAAAACAGCCTGTAATTTAACAACAGCCTCCTTAATGGAGGGACCTGCACAGTACATCACGGTATCGTCCGCATAGAAATGTAAAGTTGCTCCATCCACATTTTGACCTAAACTGTTGATATAGATGGAGAATAAAAGTGGACCTAAAACAGAACCTTGTGGTACACCATTTGTAATGTTTAACCACTCAGAAGTGAGCCCATCAAAATGAACACTTTTGTCGCGTTCACACCAAAAAGAGCCGGTACTAAAATTAGTTCATGATAACCTTTTTACCTTTCGTGCGGCTCTCTTGTGAGAAAAGAGCTATATTTCTGATTGGCTGGACGGATTGCAAACCACGCCCCGTAAAACTCCCAAAAAGTTTTGTGAAGCCGCCATTTTATTATCCTCGCATTAGCATTATTAGCATTAGCCCAGCGCAGAAACGCAGAGAGACTAACTTATGGCAACACAAAATAAAACATGGGAGCGGTGGAGATGAGGAGGTGTCGGCGTTCTGGCAATTTACTCGGAAGACCAACTCCGGGGACTTCCGGCCGGGGACTTTGGGCGGCAGTATACATAGATATATATAAACACTAGATGACTACACTGGTCAATGGAGACCGACGTTGCCACATGGCCGCCATCTTGCTACAGGCAGTGCTCTCATTCATAACATTATGGTTTACTATTTAAATAACCATAGCTTGCTCAATTTTCAACCAATTTTCAAACGGTTTGGTTTTTTATAAACATCAAAGATGTAGTTATGATACTGCATACTTATAGTCATGGACTTTCTTATGAAAATAACATTAAGCAGATAAAGCAATAGCTATACACACATACACACGGTATTTATATTAAATATTTGCCGGTGTATATATTTCCATTTATTATATTGTTAATATTTAAAATAAATCATAAAATTAAAATATATTTATATATAAAAAATCGGTCTCCTGTTACCACTCCGTAAGCCAAGAGTTGTTAATTTAGCAATGCCTTAGCTTGAAGAACAGGGACACAACTAATGACAATAGCATATGGTGGTATATTATTTAGATATTCACACCTTTTATCAGAAGAACCAAACCAACATAAAATGAGCTCACAGACAGGCCAGTTCTGTCTCATTTATCACAATTATACGAATATATAAATAATAGTAATATGGAAATTAATAAGTTACTTTTTTAACAATTCAATGTTCACTTATCAATACTGTGAGACTGATTTTTTTTTTACGTTCTCCAACAGAAAACACAACTCAGCGTACTTTTAAGAAATTGATCTTAATAGGCTTTTCCCCTTATAAGGCAAACATATGTTTTGAGGCTCTGGACAAGAATGGATATTTTGATTGTAAAGGTTGCCAACCCTGGGTGTAGTTTCAATGTTTGCACATGTTTATTCAAGTGTATGATTGACATAGAGCAAGTGAGATGGCCAGTGGTTCTCAAAACCTTTTACACAGAGTACCACCTCAAATTATATTGGGCTCTCCTAGTAACACCATCATAGACCTTCCTGGGTACCACCGAGATAAAGGATTTAATATGACAAGCCATATGATGCTCTCATTTGTTAGTGACATTCCACATGCAAATAAAACAAGATAAGATGGTACTTTATTGATCCCAATTTGGGAAAACATTTTTAGTTACAGCAGCATAAGGGACAAGGCATTTTACAATGAATTAGAAATAAGCAAGAAAAATAAAGAAAGAGGAAAATATACATGTTGAGTTTGGCAGGATATTATATATATAATATACATAAATATAAGGCATATGGAATATTAATGTTAAATATTAAATAGATTATATATGTGTAAAATGTACAACGTGGTTATATTCAAGAGAAACTATGGAGCAGAGAGTTATCTTCCAGAGGTGATTTGTTGAGTTATGGCACTGCGGAGCTGCAGCAGTCTGTTGGAGAAGGAGCTCCGTTGACTGCAGGTGGAGAGGATGGGTGGGGTTATCCATGAGCCTGTTCAGTGTCCTCCTCTCCACCACAGCTTCAAAGGGGTCCAGCTTGATGCCGATGACAGGTCCAGCTTTCCTGATCAGTTTATTGATCCTGCTGGTGTCACCGGCTCTGATGCTGCCCCCCCAGCGGACCACAGCAAAGAAGAGTGCAGTGGCCACAACAGACCGGTAGAAGATCTCCAGCATCTTGCTGCACACGTGGAAGTATCTCAGCTTCCTCAGAAAATAGAGTCTGCTCATCCCCTTCTTGTGCACAGCATCAGTGTTGATCCTCCAGTTCAGTCCGTTGTCTAAGTGCACTCCCAGGTATTTGTAGTCCTCCACAACAGCCACATCCTCTCCCAGAATGCACAGGGGTAGAGGAGACGTCCTCACCCTCCTGAAATCAATGACCATCTCTCTGGTCTTGGCCACATTCAGAATACTCACAACATTAGGCTGAGGTTCATCTTCCGCTCTTCTTGAAGTGGTTGTGCTTCTTGTTGCTTCCGGCTAAAATAAACATAATTAAAGACATTTTGAGTGTTTAAAATGTGCTGTAATACACAACACATTATTTATTCCTAAACTTGCAGAAAGAAAAACTAAAGTGTGACATTTAATCACATATTTATATATCAATCTTATACACCTTGAATTCTTGTTGGCCAATGATACACATACCCTTTGAAGATGAGCTGGGAAATTGAATACTGTTGGCACAACACCATCTTTAAGCCGGACAGTCTGCCCTGTCCGGTCAAAGTCCTCACTCCTGAAGTGCTCACTGCAGAGCAGTGTCCTGTCACAGCAAACAAAACCGTCCCTTCTTAGGGCGAGTTCCCACTGCCTCCTCCTCTCTCCGGTTTTGGGAAACCTTATAAACATGAGAAAGGTAGCCAGATATATAAATTATTGTCAACATTTTCCTCCCTTCTTTCCTTTAACATTAAGGGTAAGGACAAAAATACACACCGAAATTATCATATTTTTGGGGTAATTGTATGTATGTATGTATGTATACTTTAAGAATAAGACAACCACACTAAGAGTAATAAAAAAGGTGTCCAAAAGAAACATTAAATAATTGTGTAAAGAAATGGTAGCAACATATTCTAAAGAGGCTGGGTCAACAACAATCTTGCAATACTATTATCTCACATAGCCCCACTGATCCTGTGTAGCAGGACTTGTAATGTACATACATCCACTAAGTAATTAACGATTATCCTAATTATAGTCATAATATTGTCATATCTTACACGTGAAAGGTGATTCCACGGGTTCTTGTTTGCAGACTGCGGCGATTAGAGCATCCGTAGGCTGCACAAAAGTCCGGCATAGTCAGGTACTTCTGTAAACACAAAGCCAGCAAATTCCTGTATCATAATGTATCTAAAATGTAAGATGTTTTTAACAAGCCAAACCACTTGGAAGAAATCATGTGTAACTTAAATTATGTTGAAAAGAAAGAGCTGCCTCTCCCACTGGTGTAAAGTTGCTGGGTCAACTTTGTAATACTAGGTCTCACTCACAGCCTCTTGTTATTAGCCAGCTAATAAATACAACCACGTCATACACAAAGAAAAGCTGCAATTTCAACATGTCCAAGCATCCTGTATCATAGCCATGCTAATAACGTTTATAATAAACCAAACCGTTTGTAAATCAATCAAGATTTCAGCGATTTAAGAGTATTTTTGTGCAGATCACTCACCTTACAACAGCTACCATAGCGCGTACCAGAGTAGTTGACTGTAGCAAGATGGCGGCCGGTCAGCTACGCTGGAAAATCTCCCATGAGCCATCTAGTGTTTATATATATCTATGGCAGTATACGCCGTGAAGTGGTTTGCGGCCTGCCAGTAAACCCAAAGCAGAAGAAGAAGAAGTAGTGACGTCAGCGGCTTCATTTGCCTAATCCACCCCCAGGGATTTATTCCGGTGTGAACGCGATCTGTACTTAGTTCATGAGAACTAAGGAGTTCTCATTAACTAAATTCTCATGAACCTTTGTGGGAAAAGTACTGCGGTGTGAATGCGCCTATTGGGACCTTTCAGAGAGGTATACAAACCACCCCACTGCATGGCTGGATATGCCAATACTGGCCAGCCTCTGCTTCAAGATATGATGATCGACGGTATCGAACGCTTTGGAAAGATCAATAAACAGAGCTGCACAACTCTGCTTTTTGTCTAAGATATCTACAATATCATCAGAATCAAGATCAGAATCAGAAACGGGGTTTTTGCCAGGTAGGTTCACACATAAGAGGAATTTGACTTGATGTCATGGTGCATACATAAAATATAAAACAAAGAATCTCCATATAAAACAAGAAATCTAATATAAAACAAAAATATAGTTAAATAGCAATAAAATAAAGCAGTTATTTACAGCGAAATGGAATGCAATGAGTTATAGAATATAAAATATGAAATAAGAATATGTGCAGTAAGCAGTATTTTAACATTGTGTGCATTAATGTAATGCATAGAGTCTACGTTGTGTCAGTGGGTGGGCTGGGCCTTGTTTAAGAGTCCGGTAGCGGAGGGGAAGAAACTGTTCAGGTGGCGAGAGGTTTTGGTCCTGCCAGAGGGGAGGGGGGTGAACAGTGTGTGTCCAGGGTGGGAGGGGTCGGCCACTATCTTCCCTGCCCGCCTCAGGGTTCTGGAGGCGTGCAGGTCGTGGAGGGATAGCAGATTACAGCCGATCACCTTCTCTGCAGAGCGGATGACCCGCTGCAGCCTGCCCTTATCCTTGGCTGTGGCTGCAGCGTACCAGATGGTGATGGAGGAGGTGAGGATGGACTCGATGATGGAGGTGTAGAAGTTCACCATCATCGTCTTTGGCAGGTTGAATTTCTTCAGCTGCCTCAGGAAGAACATCCTCTGCTGTGCTTTTTTGATGAGGGAGCTGATGTTCTGCTCCCACTTGAGGTCCTGGGCGAACATTCATCACATTGTCGCAGTGATGGTGCTATGTTGCTTTCTGAAACCTGACTGATGTTTACATAGGATGTCATTTTTACATAAAAACTCCTTTACCTGTTCACTCATTTGCTTTCAAGAACCTTAGCCAGAACTGACAATTTAGAGATGGATCTATAATTATTTAATAAAGTGGCCTCCCCTCCTTTTAGTAAAGGCAGGACATAAGTGGACTTCCATACTTTTGGTATTGTCTTTGTGCTGAGGGAGAGGTTACAAATAGAAGTAAGAGGTGGTGCAATAAAATCTGCAGCTATCTTTAAAAATAAAGGTTCTACGTTGTCCGGACCAGCCGGTTTCTTAGGATCTAACTTGGTTAAAGCTTCACGAACAACATCAACAGTAAAAGGAGTAAAACTGAAGGGGTTTTCCAAAACACATTGTTCAGAGTCACAGACTGTGGTGTTCACAGAAGCAGAATTAGAAACATAATCAAACAGAGAGCCACGGGACACAACATGCTCATTAAAACAATTTAACATACTGTAGTGGCCCTGTCCGATATAGTGCCAGATGCCGTGATAAGGCAAAGAGGTAGCTCATTACGGATTTCACCGGTGGATATCGATTGAATGGTTTTCCAAAATGTTCTAGGATTATTCAGGTTTTTTGTGGTAACTGACAGATAATACTTAGACTTAGCACTTTTGATTTGAGATGTGAAGCTTTTTTTAATCAGCTCTTCTGACCATCTGCTGGTTTGTGTTGAAACAATCCTTGAGTGACATGTGAAAGGTGACATGCAGCCAGTGGCGAGGCTTTGTTTATGTTCCAGTCGTGTGTCTGTTGAATACTGATGATACCAGCCAAATGTTCAAATCGTCTCCACAAAGCTGGTCTGCCAAATTACAAATATCATTTGTTTTCCATCCTAATCTAATTTAGGGCGATTCGCCAGAAATATCTGAAGAACTGGTTCCTCGTGGACTTTGTGTCCTCCATCCCGGTGGACTACATCTTTCTGATGGTGGACAGTCTGGACTCCGAGGTCTACAGGACGGCCAGGGCGCTGCGCATCGTCCGCTTCACCAAAATCCTGAGCCTGCTTCGACTGCTCCGCCTGTCCCGACTCATCCGCTACATCCATCAGTGGGAGGAGGTGAGGAACAGATATCACAATCAAAGAAATATTCAAAATAGGGATACAACTTACAATTGTGTTCATTATGGATTAATCAGCCAATTATTTTCTCAATTAAGCTATTAATTGTGTGTTCTACAAAATGTCAGCACTTTATAGTGTGTCTATAAAATGTCAGCATGTCCATCCCATTTCCTTAAACTCCGAGGGTAATGTTTTACATGTGTTGTTTTGTCACTCATAAACCAAAAGGTATTCCTTTCAATACGATATAAAACTGAGAAAAACAGGAAATCTCCATTTTTAAGAGGCTGCAAACAATGTTTTCTTCCATTCTTGCATTCTAAAGATGCATTGATTATGAAATGATTAAGTGATTATTTTTCTGTCTATAATCATTAAATATGTAAGGCATTACTTTTTACAGGCCTTTAGATTTACAAAATATCCTGTTTTACGGGTAGATTTAAAGCTTTTTTTTTCATAATGTGCCCAAGAGCTGAAGGAATGATCTCATTCAAATGTATTTTGACTTATTTATAGAATAAATTCCTTGTGAAAAGGTAAACTGCACCTGCATCACTTTTCTCCTCCTCCTCTTTCCCCTCAGATCTTCCATATGACCTATGACCTTGCCAGTGCCATGGTGAGGATCGTGAATCTGATCGGGATGATGCTGCTGCTGTGCCACTGGGATGGCTGTCTGCAGTTCCTCGTCCCCATGCTGCAGGACTTCCCTCCTGACTGCTGGGTTTCCAAGAATCTGATGGTGGTGGGTCTCTAAACAGCCCTCCGCATTTAACGTGACTGATGTGTTTCTGAATTTATGTTATCGTGTAGTCAAACAATGCCATGACATCTGATAAAACGCACAAAGCGATATCTCAGCTTGTTTGAACAGTGTGCACAATATGTTTTATTCTGATAAATGCAAAACACAGATTCAATATACCCCGGGTCATGTTATCTTTATGTGTGCAGAGTGAGGTTGTTTATCAGATTTGACAATATTTGCTTCTTATCTGTGTTAATTGGGTCATGCAGCAACATGTCCAGTTTTAATTAGATTGCCGATCATTGTCGTCACTAAAATAAAATAAAAGATTTTCCAATTAAAAGCCCCAGCAGAGAGCAGGTGGATGGGGGAACTCACGCAAACAGTCCAAGACCTGGGGGACCTGCTGGAGATTTCATCCCTGTGCAGTCAGGCGTGCAGACGTGAACATCCATGAATGAACACAGATACACAGCTGTAGGAAAAGCTGACTCATGTCTCAGTGGTTGCCTTGGTGACTGTTGCCAAGCAGCTTGATGCTGGGATTTTC